AATAGTGAATTGTCCTGACACAATATTGCGTTTCGCTTCTGTTATTACCATGGTACATTGACAAAAACATATACTTTTATTCACAGGATAAAACAGTTGTTTTGTATCACTAATTGCCCAGTACGATTACAGCATACAATATTATTGTCACTGCTACATTTCTGTGATGCGTACCAGAAATTATTTCCACTACTAATTAATTACCGTTGAGCTCAAAGGTCCTATTAATAAATGGTTAACGAATGTGTATTCATGAAGACGATTTGTGAGACTGGTAAACTTATGATACGTACGATGGTCTTTCCTTCTACACGGTGCATTTCATGGTCCTGTACCCATCCTTCGGTAAACTGTTCCTGGGCTTGTTGCAGTGACCTGAAGTTACTGAACTTCATGAGTGTATGCACTCACTCCAAGAACTGTATAATTATAAATATGAGCGTGGTGAAAGTTGGGCAGCATGCTAACGTATTTTGTCCACTCTGTGTGCTCGTAAGGGTCTAACCCTTTCACTCCTTTGATTTTTTCCTCGTATCTTTTCTTTGACTTTTCATCAAGTCTGTCTTTGTACAGACCGGCATTGTTCTCCTTCGTTTTGTACATAACTTTTTCGGGGGGCAAAGAAAAAGCAAGAATTTATTGGAACCGAAGAATGAACGTTTTGCGGTGCTGCAAATGCTTGCATTTGATGCAGTACTTGGATTGTTTTGCCACGAGTTCCCGGCATGCAATGCGCGAAAGTCACGTGGTTTGTCAATCTCTATTGGGAGTGAGCTGCAGTAGAAATTTTTAGAGCAGTACGAGATTTAAGGTGGTAATTAGTACAATAGTTCACCCTTCAGGTAACCTGTGTGCCACATTTTTATTTGTAGCATTTTATTTTTATTGCGTACTAAAAACAACAGTTAAATAGATTGAATAATTGAATAATGCTGTGAGAAGCCTTGGATTTTTTTCTTCGTATTTCATCTGACATTAGTTTTGTTTTGAAGGCCTGGGCTTGGTTTCATCCTGATAAAAAAGTTCTTCTTATTCTTCTTTTGTTTGTTTGTTTTGTTTTTTCCCCCTTCCATTAATCATGTAATCAAGCTCACTTCTCTCCAGGTTGTACAAAAAAAAGAAACTGGATAAGACCACTCTGAACTAAGAACAGACTTTAAAGCATGTCATAACATAAGGCCCACAGGCCTGAATCACCCGAGTAATGACTCCACTCCTGAACGTCTTTGACAAATGTGAATGACAGGACAGATTTTTAGACTTACCTGTTTTTGGTTTTTTAAACAAGTTTTACAGTTTCTGTGTTGATAAAAAGCTTCTGCATTGCCATTCATACTACACCTAAGAGAAGTCCCTGTTTTTCCCACCAACCCAAGTGGATCATATGAGTGAAACTCCACTTTTTGTTAGCGTAAATAAGTTTCACTATACATTTAATCCCTGATAGATCTTAAAATAAAAAAGAGGTTTCCAACACCAATCTGTAAAAAAAACAACTCCCAAAAGTTGATTCTGTTCATCTGGACATAGCGTTTTCAGTAGACTTCTTCAGTCTCAGCTGACTGCAGATTTCCCCAGTCTTATAAACAATACATTTGCACAATGACTGAAACCAGCCAACTGATCCTTCAGTGGAAGGTCAGTTCCTTCATCATAATTATGCAAATTCTAATGGCCATTGATCAATAACCATACATAAAATTTAATTGAATTTAAATGTAAATACATAATAGCCATCCATCCATCCATTCTCTTCCGCTCATCCTTGTCAGGGTCACGGGGGGCTTGTCATAGCTTGAAAGTCGGATCAGGGCACCAGTCTATAGCAGAGACAAACAAGCTTTTGCACTAACATTCACAGCTGTTTGCCAATTATATTCACCGATGAAACTAATCCCACGAACTGCACGTCTCTGGAAAGTGTCAGGTTGTCATTTATCACCAGTTGATGGCAGGAAGTTTCAACTGTTATCATTAACTGAATTTTTTTAACAAAAGTGCATGAAGGACGAGAGACAACATGGGATTGTTCAGACACTGTTCAGCTCTCACCCCAAATGCCTCCCTGTGTCATGATCCTGGGTCTTTTGACCCAGCGTTTTAAGTTTGAGTTTATTTTGTTATTAGGTTATCTAAGTTCATTTGTTTATTAGATTCCCCTTGTGTATCCAACCCCTGTTAAGTCTCCCTTGTCCTTCATGTGCTTCATGTCTGTGTTTCTTATGTTGTCATGTTTGCGTTTCATTATGTTTCCCATTTTATTTTGAAAGAGGTCCTGTGTTCCTGCATTTTGTTTTACTCTTCCCCTGTGGCGTTGTTATGTTCATGTTGTGTCTACTGAGCCTTTCTGTTACATGTTTCAGCTCCCTATGTTCTGTCTCCCCAGTCTGTTAAGTGTACATGTCTTGAGTTCAGTCAGTGTGTTTCCTGTTTTACTTTCACAGTCTGTCCTATGTTAATGTTTCTAGTTTTGCTTTGCTTTGCTCGTCCTGCCTAATTACTCCCAGCTGTGCTCTCCTCCTGTGGCTCATTCCCCCTCGTTATCCCTCAGTGTATTTAAGCCCCATGTTTCTCTTTGTCAGTGTTACGTTCTCCCTCATAGCTGTGTGATTTTTCCCTGTGGCTCCTTGTGCTTTAGTTTTCCCAGTTTCGTTTTGTATTGTTTTTCGTGTCCCACTCCACGCCAGCAATAAAGCTGTGTTTTTTGAGTTTACTTTTTGTCTCTACAAGTTTGCGTTTGGGTCCTACTCTTGCCTGCACACTGCCGTATTGTGGCACCCTAGAATATATAAAATTTCAAATGTATGCTAATGGAAGTTGGCTTATGTGTAATTTTGTGTAATTCAGCTTTTATAGTATTTAGAGTATTTTATATATTGCATGGTTTTAATGTGAAAGTTGCCCCTAACCTCCTCCCACATACCAGTCTATACATTTCTGAAGTTTCCACACTGGTTGATGTTCCTACTGTGTCTGCGGCTGCAGATACTATTTGTTTTTGGTCTTTATCTGTTCCAAAGGCAGATGCATGTTGATTAGCCACAATAACGCACATTTTCCATCAGACATCTTCATGAAAAAACCACAAAAGGAAGAAGTGAAAGCAAAGTTTCACCTGGTTAGAAAGCCGGAGCTCTTCAGGATGCTAAATGCAAAGCACGAGGTTTGCTGTGACAAAGCTGACTGAAAGGTCAAGATTATAAAGTTTTATTTGATTTTTTTTTACTACCTTTTACAAAATGTATTGACGTGAAAAATTTGTCTTGTATTATGAGTGTTATGAACCGGTTTATGAAGGTAAGTGGATTAAAAACGAACACACACAGAAAAATTAAGAAGAAAATGCCCTCTGGTTTGATTGGCGGAGCCGGCGAAGACCACATGGACCCCAATGGTTGGACTGGTGGATTACTTCACTGTGGAGTAGATGACATTTGGCTCTGGCTGAAACTCTGAACACACACAAAAAACAGAAAGAGGTGAAAAAATAACCAGGTCTGCAGAAAAGCTCTCTTAAAATTTTATTTATGTCCAGTTATTTTACCAAAACATAAAAATTTTAATTGTCATCATAACGAAAGTTAGTTACCAGACGAGTTACCAGACCAACCAGAGTTAAAATAATATAGTGGTCCTCTTTATGTGGCCGGGTTTGCATTAAACCAGCACTTTAAATTCTAAACTCAGTGGACCCTGAACAGTTTCCCACAAGTGAAACTCAGTGCTTCCTTTTTCCAGATGCATGTATGTATGTATGGGTTTAACTGTTTAATTAAGTTTCTTTACACTGACAGAAAGTTGAGTTTCACTGCTCCACCATAATCACATGACTATTTTTGGCCCACAATGTAAAATGAGTTTGATACCAGTGACCGGCAGAGAACGGCTGCTCTGACCTCCTCCCTGTGTCTGACCCTAGCTGACCACTGCACACAACAGGAGCCACAGACAGAGGAGACAAAGCGGAGTCACCATACCTCTCTTTGACCTGTTTCCCGTGTCTTTTATGATGATTTCCGCATAACTGACATCTTCCGTTCTCACTGTTGAATGACCTGCAGCTGAATCAGTCTCTGCACAATAAAAAAAGCACAAAAGGACATCAGTGCAGTGATAGCAGGAAACATTAAGAAGACAACGGTCAGATCATTCATACCTTGTTTTAGTGTGCTGGTAGAAAAAAGGACACTGAATTAAACAAAAACATGCAAACACAGGGATTCCTTTGAATCAGGGAATGGCTATATGAGCTGGTCAGGATGTCAGGATGTTACACGAAGTACAAAATGAAACCTACAAATAAAATACGTGGTGAACAAAAGGCTGATTAAAGCATGGGCAGATCCGTGGAGGAAGGACTTAAAGGGTATAAAGTGATAGATCTAAGTTTGATTAATGTGATTATTATTCACATGAAAGAAAAAAACACAGTTGAATGAAACGGTGATTGTTTGTTCCATTGTGAACAGGACAGGATGAAAAACATGTCACTGTTTCAAAGCTGCTGTTTGTGGGGAAAGTTAGGAAATAAAAGAAAATGATGATGAAGATGATGCAGTTTGACCTTCGAACTCTGCTCAGCACCATTTTTTGAGTTTTTAACAAAACAGGGATGTAACCAATGCAGGATTGGAAATATTTAAGGAAGTGGATTCTGTAAAGCGTTGTTTGATGAAACGTTTTTAACAGGTTGGTTAAAACTGAAGAAGTCCACAAAGACACCATTGGTGCATGAAAAAGTACCTGTGCTCCATCTGATTGGCTGCTCTTGACAGTCTGACCTTATGATGTCACAGTATGTGGTTATCTGGAATCGAGTTTCTTTCTTACAAGCTGAAATGCAGCAAACTGTAAACAATAAAAATGGACTTTAAAAAAAACAAACTTTTAAACATTTCTAAAATGTTTTTAGAAAATTATTGTTATTGTTAATAATTATTATCAAAATTATTGTGTTTCTCACCTGGTTTATTGTAAACATACTTTCTCACCAGCAGAACCATTAAGAACAGCATAAGCGCAAGGCAGACTGACCCAGCGGACAACAACACGCACATCAGAAGATAAAAAGAGGTGGGGTCAGCTGTGGGCGGAGGCGTTGCAGTTGGTGTCTTTGTAGCTGTCTCATTCAAACCTGCAGAAACACAGACAGGTGAGTGTGTCACCTGTGACAGTGATCCAGCTGGATGGAGACTCTCCATGACCGCTGATGTCACACTTGTAGAGGCCTTCATCAGACCTGGAAACATGCTGGATGGTCATGTGACCTGTAGGCTGCTTCCTGATGAGGGAGCCATCTTTATAGAAAGCAGCTGGGAGGTTGGAGGGAGTGGTCTTTGTTTTACAGAGCAGAGTGACGTCATCTCCCTCCATCACAGGGAGGACAGGACTCTGCAGGATCACTGATCCACCTCAACAGAAGTCAAGCTTGGGAGGGTTTCACCTTTCTGTGAAAGACTGTGGGGGCAGATGCAGATTGGAATCTTTGCTGAGCCTATTTTGGCCCTCAGGCCTCATGTTTGACAATGTTGCTTAGATGTTATCATCTCTGACTTTCAAGTCATGGTCACCTGTTGTTGGAAAATGTGCACCTGGCTAAAAGAGGAACTGTGTAATTTTTTAAACCCCCTCACAGTGGTAATGGTAATGTGGTAATGTTTCTCTCCCCCGTCACAGTCTTGGGATTAGTTTTAACCCTTTTTTTAAAGGTGTTACAGCTGTTCACACCCCTGTCAGCCCCTCTTTAGCTTCCTGTTACAGCACAATGGTCTCAAATAAGCATAGATGAAATGCCTCACTTTGTACCTATGACACATCTCTTTACAAAAATACAACTTCCATCATATCTTACTGGAAATCAGTGATTTTCCTTTAAATTATGAGTCCTTCTTTACAGAGCTTTGCAATTTCACATGCAAGGTCGGGTAGTGCAACACTTGGACCCGATTACACGATTGTTTGTTTTCCCTTCTTGGTGAAAGCAATGCCCTTTGTTACAACCATCCCTGTTCTCCACTAATAGGATTTTTTTAGAATTTACATCATCTCAATAAAAACATTGAGAACTTGTTGAGACATTTCTGCATACAAGAGTCAAGACTGAAAACTAAGATTGGATGCTGTTGGGGTTGAGGCTTTCAGTCAGCACTGCATCGTTGGGATTATGGCACAGCCTCGGGAACGCTACTCAAAGCCATCAGCAGTGAGCATCATGCATCATAGTAATCTGACTTAGCGGAAATAGTAGAAATTCAATTCCTTGGTAGAATTACAGCATCTGGCTAAATTGCTCATTTGTGTCGACCCATCCAACCACGAAGTTACATCCTGCGACACCTCACATCTGTTTCCTCCTCGTGGTTATTGGAAAGTGCAACAGAAAGTTCTCTCAGAGAAAACTCACAAAACTTTATTATAATGAAAATGTGGAGGACAAGTCACTGTTACTGAAGCTATGGCTTTAAGAAGCTACAAAAAAATCTAATATTATTTACAACCTCCATGCTGCGGTCCACATGTCAGTGTAGTGAAATCATTCAGCCCATTAAATCCCTGATCCTGTGCTGCAAAGTATGTTCAGCAAACCCAGGATGTCTTTGTGTTCCACGGGTTATAGTCTTTTACTCAGTGCGTTTTTTCTGCCCTTTATTTTCAAGTAGGATTTATTCTGGGGGCTGTTTTCAGTATTTTAAACATTTTCTTATGAGAATACTTTATTAATCTGGGGAAATTATTTGGTTACAGTGTTACAAACAGGAGCCGTGGTAACCGAATCCGCTCTGAAACAAGTTATGTTTGAGGTGAGAGATCAACAAGACCTTCCCTCACAGAAAAAAGGGTTTTCAAAGAGAGCATTAGCAAGAAATACAGACCCACAGGAACAACGTTATTCCTGCATATTTGATCTTTTGGCTGAATTTTCAGCTTCATCTTAAACCTTGATCATTGTGTGAAAACACAAGAAAAAATAAGAATTCTTGCACAAACATGTGCAGAACTCCATCTTTGTGGTGTTTCTGATTCTGACTGAAATCAAGCACAGACGACGCTGCCTTCAGATTATTGAAATACAATGAAAAGCAGCTCCTAGCTTCCTAGTGTCTCGACTTTTCTCTCCTGAGAATAAGTGCTGATTCTCCTTATAAATGGTCCGACTGATAAGGAGCATCAGTGAAACAAAGCAAACAGCATGAACGCACACGGAGCTCACCTTGCAAAGAAGAGGCCATGGAGCCGATGAGGAAGCAGGAGAAGATCCACATTTCTGCAAGAGACACTGCTGAGGCTGCGATCTGTGTCTGCATGATGGAGGATGAGCTCATGGTCTGCTTTCGCAAACTCCCAGTGCTCACATTTGATGTCAGTTAGAGGAAGTGGTTGAATGAAAGAGCCAACACCTCTTTCATTCAGTAGACTCACACACAGACCTAAGATCAGCTGTTTTCTACCTCGAGTGAACAATCAGGAGCTTTTATCTTGGTTCCTTTAGCACCTTCAGTGACTCTGCAGTGCTCTGTCTGCTCCTTTACAGGATACACTACTCCTTACACCTCTTACACCCCAACTCTTTGGGGTGGCTGCAGCTCAGGGTGGGTCACCTACTCACTGGAAGGTTGGTGGTTTGATTCTAGTCTGCATGCAAATATCATTAGACAAGATATTAACCCCATGTTGCCGATGCATCCATCAGAGCGTGAATGCGCGTGAATGTTAGATAGAAGCACTAAAGACCTTAGATAAAGTGCTTGTGTGATTGGGTGAATGCACGAGTTGTATAAAGCACTGAGTGCTCAGTGAGTGTAGAAAAGTGCTCTATAAGAACCAATCCATTTACACCTTTACGTTTCCTGTACCGGCACCTACAGACTTCTTTTAATGACGCTGACATGTTTAATATCGCGTTACATTCAAAGACTCTAACATCACTTCTGGTCAGCATGCGACCTGAGTAGTCACAGGAACTAACTGCTATGGTGAATTTAACTCTGCTTTGACCAGATTCACCCCTCCAATTGCCACCTTTAAGTCGCTTACACTCACAAACACTCTCGTAGTGTTTTGAACACTTTTTGACACTTTCCAATGGCTTCTAAGAGTGCAAAAGCGAACAAAAAGGAGGATTCTAGCTTAACACTGGAGGCTATCACCACGCTGCTCCAGCAGCACCAAGATGAGTTAACATCTGAATTGAAACCCTCATTTAACGCCCTCAAACTGCAACAAGCCCTATAGGAACAGGCAGAGAGAGTTTTGTCCTTGGAGCTTGTAACTGAAGACCTGAGCCAACGAGTCACTGAAAGCATGTGTGCCACTCTTCGCAAAGATAACAGCCAGCTAAAGAACAAAGTCACCATCCCGGAGAGCCGTAGTAGGCGTCAGAAAATCCGCGTCCTCCCTGAAGACACTAGAAGTGGGCGCACCACTCACTTTTCTAAGATTCTCTGTGAGTTATTTGGCAAGAAATTGCCTAGAAATACTTAAATCTCCACCGGAGCTCGAAATAGCATACCGCTACCTCAGGGCGCAGGGAACTAACCCACTCGTCCTCTGTAAAGGACTCCAACGTACATGCAGCAAGCCAAGGGGGATGTTAATGCACCTCTGTAAGCCATTTTCTGCTAGTGCAAGAACACAGTACAGATATGTAAAGAGTTTTGATTGTGAAAGGCATGGACGAGAAGAACCCCTTTTGTCAAAAGCGTAGGTTTTCTCTGCAGATCGGAGGGTAAAAAAATGACCTGGTTCTTCACTGAAGGCAGGGAGGCGGGCAGTAAGACCTGGGGGAGTGAGGGAGGACAGAGGTTCATTCAGGAAACAAAACTGGATTATAGATGGCAGATAGTTGGTGTCTTGAACCACTGCCTCTGTTCAAAGATGGTCACTCATAGATGGCTTCTTTGACTCGTCTTTCGAACCATCTGTCTTCTCTGTCCAAAATGTGAACATTGGCTTCCTCGAAAAACGCACGGCACAACATAGAAGAGCCACCTCCACAGGGCAAGACTCGGCTATCCATCTGCATCTAAAGGACAAAGGTCACTCTTTCGAGGACTGAAGTTTCTCAGATGACAGGTGAAACGTCTTCAAGCAACTTAAAGAAGTCCAGACGTTTTTCTTTCCAAGCTCCTTAGACTGAGAGGATTTACAGTTTGTCACTTCCTGTTAATCCCAGCACACTGAAACTGGTGCTTCTTTCTTGAAGCTCAGTATTTGACACAGAGTTCAAGTTCACTGCTGCAATTATGATTAATATTATAATAACTTTAATGTTGGCCACATTATCTTTACATTACCAAAGTGAGATGACTTTAGCCTCATGAACAACATAAGCTAATTGTTATTTACTAGCTAAGTTTGAAATTACTGTTAAGTACAGAAATGAAGCACAACAATCATGTTTTTACAGTCCCGTGGTCTCAGCCTCAGAGGTCCAGGCCCGACACACAGAGAGGCAGATTAAGGAGCAGTTTAAGAAGCTTCACCAGTTTCTAGCAGAGGAAGAGGAGGCCAGGCTGGCTGCCCTGAAAGAAGAAAAGGAGCAGAAGAGTGAAATGATGAAGGAGAAGATGGAGGCTTTGAGTAGAGAGATAGCAGCTCTTTCAGACATAGTCAGAGCCACAGAGGAGGAGCTGAAAGCTGAAGACGTCTCATTCCTGCGCAACTACAAGGCTGCAGAGGAAAGAGCCCAGCGCTGCCCCCTGCTGGATGATCCAAAGCTGCCCTCAGGAGCTCTGATAGACCAGGCCAAACACCTGGGCAACCTGACCTTCAACATCTGGAATAACATGAAGGACATGGTCTCCTACACT